AGGGGGAGGGGGAGGGGGAAGGAGGTGGAAGGAAGGAAGGAAATGGAAATAAATCACTCTAAATCATTCCCTCCCTCCAGTAATTGGTTGAGGCATGGGCTAGTGAGCATGGGCCAAGAGGATGTCTGCTAAGGTGACTCTCCTTTCCTTTCCTTTCCTTCCCTTCCCTCCTTCCTTTCCCACTTTTCTTGGGGATCTCTCTAAGGAAAGGTTTTTCTCTCTGATGAAGACAGATATGGGAAGAAACCCTTCCCCATTCCCTGCCTTAATTTAGTGTCATGTGAGGCCATGATACTTAGACCTGCAGCAGCCATTTTGTGATCATGAGGGAAAATGTTGTTAGCCTGCTGAGGATGCCAAAGCAGAAAACTGGAAATACTGGAGTTATTGGTGACATCACTCTGGAACAGCCCCACTCTGATTTCTAATGAGGTATCTTCATTGTTTAAGCCATGATCAAACATGCTTTCCACTATTTACAGCCAAAAAAATCTAATAGAAGAGAGAGAAGAAATGCCAAGCATAGTGGCATATGCCTGTAATCCCAGACACCCTGTCTCACAGGGAGAGACAGAGACTGAGAACAGAGTCAGAGAGAAACAGAAACAGAGAGGGAGAAAAAGAAAGAAAAAGTTGGGGTGCAGGGGAGGGAAAAGAGGAAAGAATATGATCCTAGTTTCTTTTTTATTTTAAAATACTTTATTATTTGTATTTTATGTGCATGAGTATATTGCTTGTACATAGGTAGGCACACCCATGTTGTATAATGCCTGTGGATGTCAAGAGAGGGTGTTGGAACTGGAGTTATGGATGGTTGTTAGCCACCATGTGGGTGCTGGGAATCGAACCCAGATCCTCTGCAAGAGCAGCCAGTGTTCTTAACCTCTGAGTCATTTCTCCAGCCCTGATCGCAGGTTCTTAAGCATATGGGTGCAAGGTGACGTTCACTCAGGCTGGGGTGCCTAGAATAGAAGTGGGTCTGGCAGGGACTGGGTAAGGGTAGAAAATTGAGGGTAATTATGTTATTTGAGGTGTCTAATGGGTTTTCATGTAGAGCTATCAAGAGAGCAAATAGACATGTGAGTCTGAAATTCAGAGGAAAGGTCCAAAATGAAGTTATAAATTTGAGTCACTGGCACATCTGTGACATGCTTTTTAAAATTTTTCTTTCACCATTGTGTGAGCATATACATATATTCTAGTTCCATTTTTTCAGTATAATGTATAATCTACATTTAAATATATACCCCAAAGTAGAAATAATATAATAAAAATCCTAGCTGGGTGTGCTGCTACACACCTGTAACCCTAGCACCCAGGAAGCTGAGTTCAAGATCAGTCTGGGTTATACAAGGAGATTCTATCTCAAAAACAAACAAATGCCCAATAAAGAAATATGGTCACAGGATTCAGGGATTAGGCTATGGATGGGGTGGGGGTGCAAAGACATTATTCTGCCTACCACAGTTGTTATATAGCAACCAGAGCTGGAACAACCAGCGCTTCCAGTTCTTTGACATCTGAGATTTTATATGACTGTAGAAAAGTTAGCAGAGAATGTCTGAGACTGCTACCCTTAGAAAAGTCTGCTTGTAAGGCTGACCTTTGTCTGGCAACTGGTAATCTGGTTCTCAGAGTGTTCCCAGTCAGCGGTTGACTGATAAGGATGGATCATTGTACTTAGACTGTTTTTGTAAGCTATATGGATCATGCCAAATACCTACTTTTCTTCTAGGTTTCTAAGATGTTGATAAATGCTAAGGCAGAGATGCCTAAAAGATGAGCCTCCAATAAAATCTCAGCCACTGAGTCTCTAGTGCGTTTTGGTGGGTGGAAACATTGCAGGGCACTGTTGCTGGTTTTTATGTTGGAGGAAGAATATGTATTGTGCAAGCCCTGGTGGGAGAAAGAAAGGGCACAGATTTCCCCAGGCTCTACTGGTATCTTTCCCTTTTCAATCCAGCTGCCTGTCTTTACTACAAAGCTGCAATCAAGTTTAGCCTTGAGTACAACTATGTGCCAGGGCCTGTAAGTCATAGAGACTCTTCTAAAATGGAGGTGGTTTGGAGGATGCTCCAACACAATAATCCTTGATCTTTTCATATGCTAAATGCTGTGGTGTTAATACTATGAAGTCAAAATAAAACCTTTCTTCTTTTCTTTATCTCCTTTTGCAGTACCAGGGAGCGAGAACATACAGCCTTGCATGTGTAAAGCAAGCACTCTACCACTAAGCTATATCCCCAGAAAAATAAAAAATTCTTTTAAAAAAGATTTAAATTTTTTTATTTTATGTGAATATGTAAGTGCCTAATGTATGTTTGGCCTCTAGGCTATTCAGTTGCAACTCTAAGCACCCCATCACATCTAAAGTGAAACAATTTGTTGGATGAGTGTACACTTAGCAACTGCTTAACACACGTGCTGAGCACTATGGGAGAAACCAAGGACTCAAAGATGAATGTGATACAGCCTTCAGCATTGTCACACAGACATGTTCACAAATAACTGTATCGAGTGTGTCACAGACACAAAGATTAAATGCGAACAAATGCTCTAAGAACCCAAGCAGTTCCTTATACAATCTGGTCCTCACAACTGAAATGCTGAGTAGGTTTTACAAATGAAGAACTGGATGTGAAGATCAAACAGGTTCAGAGTTTTGCCTGATAGCTCAGATCTCTTGTATACATTTAGCTGTGTGGGTCACAAGGAAATAAAGTCTGTAAGTGGCCGCTGTGATCACCAAGGGTCCTGCCTTGAAGAGGCTTTGTGTGACCCGTGTTTGGAAGCAGTTCAACTAAATGCCTTTGCCATATGTGAGTGCACCTGTGTTGTACAATGCTGTGGAGGTCAGAAGAGGGTTTCAGATTCCCCTGGAACTGGAGTTAAGGACGGTTCGTAGCTGCCATGTGGGTGCTGGGAATTGAACCCAGGTCCTCTGCAAGAGCAGTCAGTGCTTTTAACCTCTGAGCCATCTCTCCAGCCCCACCAGTTTTCTTTTTATAAGTGAATTTTTTTGCCCTCTTCTTCAGTGCCAGAGATTGAACCCAGGGTTTCACACCTGCTGGGCAAGGACACTAACAACTGACACCATCCTCAGCCTCTCATCATGATTTTTCTTTTTTCAACTTTTGAGACAGGGTCTCCCTGTAGCTCCAACTAACCTGGAACTTGCTATGTAGACCAAGCTGACCTTAATTTCACAGAGATCTGCCTGCCTCTGCCACCTGAGTGCTAGGATTAAAGAGGTGGTGCCACCTTGCCTAAAGGCTCACGATGAATCTTAATTCTCCTAACCTTATGGCCAATCTACTGGGAAGACACCTTGTGAAATTTACTGTATTCTTTTCTATGCCTTGCCTAAGTCAAATACCAACCAGCTATTTTGTTGATAGAAAGTTGCATCATTGGTTATTTTGTGATATTTTGTCATGTTGTCAGAGGGCTCTGGTGCTAGGGAAACAGGATGGCAAGAAAGGCAGGTCAATCTTTGCAAGTGATGACATGCCTGGGAGACACACTTCTTAAGGATATACCAACCAGGACACGGGCTCTAGCTGATGGATTTCCCCAATGGAAGACAGCTAGAAAAGGTAAAGCAGGTCATTGAAAGCAGAAATGGCTTTTTAAAAGGCCTGTCCTCGTAAGAAATGGAAATAGAACGTAGAACGGAGAGATCTCTTCTGGCGAAAACACCAAGGACTTCATGAATTTAAGGTCACTTGCCCAAGGTCGCACAGGACCTTCTGGATGAGGTCCTGAGGGCTCCAGTTTCAGCGCTCGGCCGCAGCAGGCAGATGGTCGTGGCGAGGGCTCCCTAATAGTGACGGCGCTGGTGACGGGGCCCCCTAACTGGCAGGGAGCTGGCGATCAGTGGCAGATTCCTCGGTCGGCCCTCGCAGACAGTCCGCGAGGCTCGGCTCGGCGGGACAGTCCAAGGGATCGGCACCCTGGGGCTCAGGCTGAGTAGTTCTTGGTCCTCGACCTCCCACAGGTGTAGTCAAAAGCCTGCCACCTCGACCAGGGACCGGCAGGCGGAGTTCAGCTGGAAGGGGGTCCCCAACGTCCTACCGGAGCCGCCCCGGGCGCCCCAAGCTCCGGAGAGGCGAGGCTGGGAGGGCGGCGGCGAAGGCCGCTTGCAGCCACTTCAGAAGGACTGCTTCCACCGCAACCGTCCTAAATCAGAACATCTGCACCACCGGCGTCCTCAAGATGCAGGTGCAGTCAAGACACGGCCTGTCACTTCGCCCTGCGTCCTTGCTTCGGACCTTCGGAATCCGGGGCGTCGGCTCAAAGCCGGGAACGAAAATGGGTCGCTGCTCCTAAGTCAAAACCCGCAGGTAAGGCGTCCGGCGCAGCAAGGGGAAGGCATCCCACCTGGCTCCACCCCTCGGGGGCCACTACCCTGTTGGGGGCGTGGCTTTCAGGCCTCTCAGCCCCTCCCGGGCGGGCGGAGCGCCGGGTCCCGCCCCCTGCTTATAAGAGCGGTGCGGCACTGCAGCTAGCGAGCGCAGCTCTCACCGAGACCGGTGACCCCAACTCTACGTGAGACGTACCGCCAGACTCATCATGGTGAGTGAGGCCCCACCGGGATCTCTCCGGTCCCTTAACTGCCCCTCTCCTTCGGGGCCTCTCCTCCAGAGATGCTTGGGACCCTCCACCTAGCATTCTGGGTCTCCGGGTGGTGCAAGGATTTTGTTCTCCCCCACCCCCCTCCTGGTGACTTTGGCCTAGTGTGTTGTCCACCTTCAAAGGCTGGGGACGCGGAGGCTTCTTCAGGAGCAGAGAGGACCTGTTCCCTAGTCCCCTCCTGCCTTTACAAGCGTCTGTGCCCCAACCCTCCAGAGGGGAGTCACGCGGTCCTGCACGCAGTCCTGGCCACCAGCGGAGGAAGACTTGTTTGGCTTCCCCCGCCACGCATATCTCCCCCTTAAGTCCCTGGGACTAACCGAACACGTGTTTGGTGCAAGACTGTGGAAGGGGTTACCTGGTACCGCATCCCCTCTTCCTCTCGGTGTCTCCCTTCCATCCACAGGCCCCCTCCGGTGACTCAGCACCCCGCTTCTAGTCGGGAGGGCTGGCGGGAATGGGGTTCGGCCTCGGGAGGCGAGCTGGCCCCTCCTGCGGGAGCGCGGGTGCACGGAGGACAGGCAGAGACAGCTGGCGCTGCGCTACAACCCCGGCCAAGGCCAGGTTGGGGGGAGGGGAAAGAGGTGTATGTAGGGGAGTGGTATTTATAGCCCCGGAGCGGGGGCCGAAACCCAATCCTGGCTTTCGGATGGGAAGTAACTGGGGGGACTCCAGAGGGAGAGTGGATGTGGGGCCCAGGTACAGACAGCATTCCCCCTTGCCTGGGGCAAGGCGGGTTCCTTCTGGTGCCTCGCCGCAGGTTCTGCTTCCTTTTGTGGGTATTTGGAAATTGTCACCCCGCCATTTGGTTGTGGGAAGGGAGGCGCGCGGGCCCTACAGACTTTGGTGCTGCAGGGGTTAATAATGGACTGCCAGGACCGAGCCCCAGTACCTACCACCTGTACTGCTGGTCCTTGCCATCAGCGCTTACCAGCATTATCGCTATTTCCGTGGAGCTGAGGCCGTGGATGAAGGTGGTGAAGCCACGCAGGGTGCGGGGGTGGAGGTGGGGAGAGAAGCCAGATGGAATTGATCCCCAGGGCCAGAAGGGATTTAAAAGTGGGGGGAGAGGGCATCCTGATGACGGAGTGGTCAGTTGATGCCAGATGGAAGCTGAAACACCTCTTTAACCACAGCAAGAAAGGGAAGGAAGGGGTTGTAAGAAATTCTAGCTCATCTTCAATGCAAAGAAATAACCAAGTAGGAGGCTTCTGGCTGTAAACTGTTAAAACCTGCTTCTAGCAGCCTGTTTTGTAGGCAGCATGGATTCGGAGCAGCTGGAAAGTCTCTTATTCCAGCTTTGGTTACTGCAGCTCTGTATATCATGTGCGCATGCCATTTTTGTCCTCTGAGTGTGCAGTAAATGTAATAGGGTTATACCTTTCTCACGTGAATTCCCCACTGAGAATTAGGCTAAGGCGACAGCCTGCCCTACTGGATGCCTCCAATTTGGGGAGTCCTGTATGGAGGAGAATAGAGAGGCTGCCAGCTACCTCTGTCCCTCTGTCAGCCCCAAGCCTCCCCTTTTGCCAAGTGAGTAATCTTAGCTAGTGACAGGGTGGGAGAGAACTTCCGAAGGTGAGGACTTGTGGATGTGGCACTTACACTGTGATCTTCTCTCTATCCCTCAGCGTGAATGCATTTCAGTCCATGTGGGGCAGGCAGGTGTCCAGATGGGCAATGCCTGCTGGGAGCTCTACTGTCTGGAACATGGGATTCAGCCTGATGGGCAGATGCCCAGTGACAAGACCATTGGTGGAGGGGATGACTCCTTCACCACATTTTTCTGTGAAACTGGTGCTGGAAAACATGTGCCTCGGGCAGTGTTTGTGGATCTGGAGCCCACTGTAATTGGTGAGAAGGGGGGTGTATATTTGCAGAAGGTGGAGTGTCTCTCTAGAGTATCTATACTGGGCGTTTGAAGCTAAAAACTTTGACCTCAAGCTGGCATGTGCCTAGCATATATCTGGGTTTCTCTCATACCCTGGTATCTCAGGCTGGCAGAAGGATGAGCTAGCTCTTCCATATTATCTGGCTGCAGTTACCACCCTGGGAGGCAAGGGGGGAAGGTCCCTGCTGAACATAGCCTTGTGGTTTTTGCCCCAACAATGTGGTTTATGGTCTTCCAGATGAGATCCGAAATGGCCCATACCGCCAGCTCTTCCACCCAGAGCAGCTTATCACTGGGAAAGAAGATGCTGCCAACAACTATGCCCGTGGCCATTACACCATTGGCAAGGAGATCATTGACCCAGTGTTGGACCGGATCCGCAAGCTGGTGAGGATGCAGCCTGGCAATGGCAAGGGAGGGAACTTTGGAGACCTTAAGGAACAGTGTTTTTCAGATCTATTTTGGGTGTCATCTTTACCTGTATGCTTCTGAATGTGATGCTGTTAGGGGCTATTCAGTCTTTGCCCTAATTTCTGAGATACTTTAGGCTTTGTAAAGCTAGAAGAAAGTTCCTTAGGCCTCTCTCCCCTGCCTACATTGCCCTTTCTTTCTTTCCTTTCAGTCGGATCAGTGCACAGGACTTCAGGGCTTCCTGGTATTCCACAGCTTTGGAGGGGGCACTGGCTCTGGCTTCACCTCTCTGCTGATGGAGCGGCTCTCTGTTGACTATGGCAAGAAGTCCAAGCTGGAGTTCTCCATCTACCCAGCCCCACAAGTATCCACAGCTGTGGTGGAGCCATACAACTCCATCTTGACCACCCACACCACTCTGGAGCACTCAGACTGTGCCTTCATGGTGGACAATGAGGCCATCTATGACATCTGTCGCCGCAACCTGGACATCGAGCGCCCAACTTACACCAACCTCAACCGCCTCATCAGCCAAATCGTCTCCTCCATCACAGCTTCCCTGCGCTTTGATGGGGCCCTTAATGTGGACCTGACAGAGTTCCAGACCAACCTAGTACCCTACCCTCGCATCCACTTCCCCCTGGCCACCTATGCACCAGTCATCTCTGCAGAGAAGGCCTACCATGAGCAGCTGTCGGTGGCAGAGATCACCAACGCCTGCTTCGAGCCTGCCAACCAGATGGTGAAGTGTGACCCCCGGCATGGCAAGTACATGGCTTGTTGCCTGCTGTACCGTGGAGACGTGGTGCCCAAGGATGTGAATGCTGCCATTGCTGCCATCAAGACCAAGCGCAGCATCCAGTTTGTGGACTGGTGCCCCACAGGCTTCAAGGTTGGTATCAACTACCAGCCGCCTACCGTGGTTCCTGGGGGTGACCTGGCCAAGGTTCAGCGTGCAGTGTGCATGCTGAGCAACACGACCGCCATTGCTGAGGCCTGGGCCCGCCTGGACCACAAGTTTGACCTGATGTATGCCAAGAGGGCTTTTGTACACTGGTATGTGGGTGAGGGCATGGAGGAGGGTGAGTTTTCTGAGGCTCGGGAGGATATGGCTGCCCTGGAAAAGGATTATGAGGAAGTAGGCATTGACTCCTATGAGGACGAGGATGAGGGAGAAGAATAGACAGCTACTTGGATGGAGTCCCGCCCTGTTTATTGCAAAATCCTTTCGAAATAAAGTTTCCTTGCACGGTTTCTTGTCCCTTTTGTGAGTGCTTGAGCGTCTGCTGCTTCCCCGTTGTGTTGCTGCTGCTGCCCACACTATTTCGCTCATGACCTTTTCCCTTCCGTGGCTGATAAGACTAGCCAAGGGGTCGTCATCAGGCCCAGGAAGTATGACCCTAGGTACCTTGATTTAAGATCCCAGGGACACTCAGGATAGGAAAGAAATGAGGACTAAATTCTGGATCTGACCAGCTACAAACTATTGAAGGATACAAGTCTTCCTTTCCAAACAGGAACTGATGTCCAGTAGCTTCTGTTGGACAGTTGGATGGCTACCCTGTTTCTTCCTGCTGCTGCGTTCACCAGCTCTGGAGCAAGGCTTGGCCAGAACTGCCTTGTGCACTGTGAATGGGAAGGGGGGCTGGGCTGCCCCAAGGTTCCTGGGCATAAAGCCACATCATAAGCTTGGGGGATGGGCAGGAACAGGGAAATCTCTTAGTTGTTTGTGCCATTGCACCTTTGGCAGCTTTGCATAGCTTGCTATCTGTCATGCTGCTTTTCTGGGGCTATGCTATTAAAAGTCAGGTCATCTTCTGTTTGTGCCTTCTTTCTACTCGCTGGTGGGAGCCTCCTGCCTAGACCCTAGGGAAAAATTCTACTTTGTTAATAGGCACCCCAGGACCCATGCTGACGTCAGCATGTAAGGGTGGACATGGTTGGGAGAAGGGAGGAAACTTCGTTTTCCAGAGCAGGTGGTGCCAACCCTGCTCTTGTCTACCCTCCCTGGTGATTCAGGGACACAGTGCCCTTCCCTGGGGAACAGGTTTCAAGCCCAGCTAAGGCAGGGTGCCTGTTTACTCAGCAAAGCAGGCAGGAAGTGGCTGCTGGATACTGCCACAAGCCACTAGTCTCATTAATTATTAACTATGTGTGCACTACAATGATCAGGGAGACAGGGAAAAACAGCTGCCAGCTCCACTCCCCTTGCCCTCAGGCTGAGGATGGGAGATCTGCTATGTAGCTGTCCCAAAAGCTTCCTCAGGTGTCTCCACCCAGAGGTCCTTGGCCTGGGAAACCTGCTGAGCTGGGCTGCCCTGACTAAGCTACCTACCCTGGGAGTAAAGGAAGCAAAGGACTAGTTGAGTGTGCTTTAAAGGGGGCCTTGGTTCCAGTTCTTGGTACAGGGAGAAACCAGCTCAAGCCAGAGGAGCTCTAAGTTTTTGACTATGGCAAGCTTGGAGTCCTGCCTGCTGCCAACCAGACCTCAAGCAAGGACCCCTGCCTCCTGAATACCAGTGTCTCTTCCCAGGCTGTTCCCTTGGAAATGGGAGCCAGACAGTTCATTCTTCTTTCCCTCCAGACACACTGACCTAAAATACACACAGCCTCTTCCACTTTATTCTCCTGTGTATATTTTCTCCTTCCGGATTTGGAGGCAGAACATGGTGTGAGCCTAGCAGCCCAGCTTAGAGCCATGTACTATATTTTCTGTTTCACTTTCCCCCCAACTCATCTTTGGATCCCTTGCCCAGGTATTGGGGTGAGAGAGCAGGACATGAACTAGACTAAGACAATGGTCCCCACCCTGTACTCCTGGAGCTGTAAGAGCAGTCCTGGGTAGAATGGACAGAGTTCCAATGAGGAAAGCCGCTTTCCAAGGCACACGAAGCCATCTTCTCAACATGCCCATTTGTTCGTTCAAATTTGGGTGGTGTGCTGGCCAGGAGACAGTGGCTGCAATACCTCCAACTGACTGAGGAGGACAGGAATGTGAGGGCGCTGCTGGGGGTCCACAGTCATCATGGAGGCCAAAAGCTGTCGCAATACTGAAGAATGCCTGAGGGAGGAGGAGGGCAGGGTGAGGACACCTAGACATGCTAAGATTCCAACTCAGTGAACCCTAGGGAAGAGTCTACAATGTTTAGTGCCTCCTTACTGCTCACCTGGGGCTTTGTGGGATGCTGAGTTCATTCTGTACAGCAAGGGCCACACTGTCACCCTTCTGGAAAACCATGTCATAAGGGCCTTCTCCAAACATCATGGCATACAGCACACAGCCTAGAGACTGAGCATAACTTGGTTAGTCTCTGGAAGGTGAACGACAAAGATGACATCTCTATCCTCCCTGCTGTGGTCAAAGATTACATAAGCTAAAAATATGCCAACCTCGCCCATATGGCACCACGAGCTTCCCAGAAGAACTGTGTAAGCAGGAGGCCTCTGCAGCCCCTGCTTAGCCACCGCCTTCAGCCGTTCACACAGATCAGCCACAGAGATTATACCACTTCCTGAATACAGTATCAGTGACAGTTCCCAAGAAGGAAGTGGAGGGGTATGGAGACATATCGTGGTTCTGGGGTTCCATGCAACAGAAACCAAAGTTTGATCTCCGTCCCTCTACTCCATAGTAGGTACAGAGCTGCACCCTCTTCCACCCAGGTTCCCACCCACATGCTCCTCACCCAGACATCAGTCCGTTCATCGATGACAGAGTGGCTCTGCACAGAAAAGAGCTCAGGTGCCCGGTAGGAGATGGTGCACCGCTGGGCCGCCCAGTCCTGGAACAGTGGCCCCAGAGCTCAAAAATGGAGCACAGGCCACAGATCATGTGACCAAATTGGTGCATGCAACAGAATGAACTGGGGATGGGGAGGTGGCCAGAGGAACCTGGAGAGTCTCTTACCTGCAGAGCTAGGGCCTGGCGTGAGCCCTCAACCTGGATGCATGCTTGATTCATGGAACCCAAGTCCATTAAAACTGGCTGCCCCTCATCATCAAGCAAAATATTGGTGGGCTTCAGGTCCCTGGAGGGAAGTGAAAATGACCCAAGGGCATCCCTGGATAGGGAAGCTGGAATCCCAAAGAGTAAAAGCACCAATGGAGGGTACAGAGACACCCCCAGTCTCTTAGCAAGGCTCTTCCTCCTGGCCCCATTAAGTGCACAGGGCCCTCCCACTGACCTGTGCGCATAACCTTTGCCATGAATGGCTTCAAGGCCTCTGCAGATACCCAGCAACAACCGAAGAATCTGGTCCTCAGTCAAGAAGTTGTCTTGGTCCTTCAGCCTTTCTATCTCATTCCACAACGTACCTCTCTATAACACAAGTTTTCCTGAGTTGAGATGTTTCAAGTCTCTGCTCTCTGGGACTGATCCCTGCTGCATCAAAGTCTATCAACCCATCCACCCTATAGTCCCTCTTGGACTCCTTTAAACCCCAAATTCTAAGTGGCCAAAGTCAGGAAATGGCCCCTGCTCCCTAACATGTTTACATGCTTAGGGGTCCACAGAGTCCTTCTGTTGCAATCCCCTCTATAACCAGCAGCCTTTCTGACCTTGAAGAAAGGTAATAGTAGCCAGGCTTCATGCTTAGCACCTTGTTCTCTCAGACAGTAAGCCACAAGGCGAAGGACATTGGGGTGATGGAAGAGGTGATGCATGTCTGCTTCTCGCTGGGCCTCTTCTCGGTCCTGCTGCTCGTGACACAGGATTCGCTTCAGGGCGTAGAAGTGTCCATCATGTAACCCCTCCACTAGGTCCACATAGCTGAACCCACTGTTGGCCAAAGGGGTCAGTGAAGGACCATGGTCATCTCCCACAGGGCTTGGACCCAGAGGAATTCCCTTAGCAAGGGGTGCCTCTCACAATGAGTAGAAACCCTCCCAAGTTGTGGCTTTCAGATAGTTTCAACACTATTATAGTTCCTTAAGAGCAGACATAAAAAAAAAATTATCTCAATTCTCACAAGTCCTTCAATGAAGTATTATGATCATCTCTATTAAGCAGATGAGGAAACCACAGCTTAGCCTGAGAGATTGTTCAGTGATTAAGAGTACATACTACTCTTCCAGAGGACCTGAGTTCAAGGCCCCAGCAACCCCATTCAGCAGCTCACAACCACCTGTAACTTCAGCTCCTAGGGGATCTGATGGCTTCCATGGACACATTAATTCACATACACATATCCACACACCGACCCACATATACACATTTAAAAAAAAAAAGTTAGGCGTGGTGGTGCACACCTTTAATCTCAGCACTCCTGAGACAGAGGCAGGTGGGTCCCTGAGAAATAGAGGCCAGCCTGGTCTACACAGCAAGTTATAGGCCAGCTGAGGCTACAAGGAGACTTTGTCAGGGTAAAAAAAAAAAAAAAAAAAAAGTAAAAATGGGGGTGGGTGGGAGGTGGGGAGAAACCACAGCTTACCAAGGTCACACAAGGTTTGGGTCCAGAATTCACTTTTCTTGACCCACTGAGCTAAGCTGTCAGGTGAGGTAGAAGCTACAGCTAAAATCCTTATGCATCTACCATGTGCAGACCATTGTCCCTTAATGGCCATAACCCTGGGACTAGCTAAGTCAAACACTCACCCCTCCCCCAATTTCTGGATGAAGAGGTAACGCTTATTGTCAATGATGACAGTTCCCCGGGAGCAGACACACAGTGCGTGGCCCATAATGTCTCAGTCATCCTCCTCAAGGATGGTCTCTGACTGCCGAAGGGCTCTTCCAGGGCGAGTGGGCTCGACCAAGCGATGGGCTCCGCGCCGGCGGACCATGCCGAAAACAGCAAGTCGTGGATCAGAGACAATCCAGACAGCCCCTGAAATCCCAGTGCGGAGCGCTCAGGCAGAGAGCTCTGGAAACCCGGATTCCCGTCCAAAGAAAACGGGCCCTGGCGACTCCAGCGCAAGGAAGGCAGAGGCCTCAAAGCCTCGGGCCACGCAGCGTCTTTCCAGGCTGCTTCCTTCAACCCCGGCCCACCTTCCGGCGGGTCCCTGTCCCATGACCATCGAGTCATGGGGTAGCCGCCAAGGAAGTACTCTGAAGACTCCGGCCCACCTCTACCGAGCCCATCCCCGGACCCCTAACCTGAAGCCCAGGGTCCGCCAGCCGAGGCTCAGCACTAACCTGGCTCAAGCCGGAGCGAAGCGCCAGGGACCGGAAGTCATGGTGACACCATCAGTCCGCGCCAATGTAATGGCCCGCCGTATCCTAGCAATGAGAGGCAGCAAGAGGATGTCGGGACCGGAAGTGAGAGGAGTGGGCCAGACTAGACCTGGGCGTAGACTGGTTCCCACTTGGCCTTCAATCAGGGTCAAGTGGAAGGGTCTTGTACCAAAGGGGAGCAAAGCCCGGCTCTGCCCGAAGCCCCAGGACCTCCATCCCCAAATGTCGGAGGTAAGAGGCCTCATACCTCCAGCGCGTTGGGATCAGAAAGTGGCCTACTACAGTCCAGTCCGAAGGAGGATCCAGGGAAGGGCGGGTGCTGGCTCCTGGACGCCCGGAACCCTGATCCCATAACACCTGGGCTCCGGACTGTGTCCCACTACCCTAGCTAGTGTCAGTGGTTAAGAGAGCACCCTTGAACCGGGATGCTAGTTTCTCAATATGGTTCTAACAGTCTCACCTGCGTGGCCTCCAGCAGGTTATTTAGACTCTCAGATCCTCACTTTTCCTGGCTGCAAGTCAGATATAATGGTACCTCAGGTTAAGTGCATGAACTATGAAACCAAACTGACTAGTTCCAATCCCATCTACTAAACCAGTTGTGTGACCTTGGATAGCTTACTTCCATCGTTCAGTTTCCTCATGTGTAAAATGGAAATAATAATTATTCCATGGAGTTGTTTCAAGGTTAAATGAGATGGAGTCTTTTGCACAATATCTGACACGTAGCTCTCAATGTGTGTTAATAAACAGGAATAATTATTATTACCCTAATCCTCACATCCCCAGTTTAGGACTGTGAAGGCAAGAGAAATGGAAAACCAAATTCCAAAGACTTTGCACCATACATCTGTATGGGAAGAGATATATTGGAGAGGGATGCACCTCCAAAAAGACAAATTGGCCAATGCAGGCCCCTTGTAACTGTTTCCCCCTTCCCTTCCACACTCGTGATCATCATGAAGATTTTCTATGTCTTAACCCTTGGTTGTGTCAATCATTCATCTAAATTTAACCTGGTATCAGATCCTTTGCTAGTCTAGGAGGATTTTAAGATGCACTCCTAGCCCTCAGGGAGCTCAGTATAGCAGAGCAGTGATCGTGTTAAAATATGAATTCTGACTCTATAGGTCTGGGATAGGACCTGAGATTCTGCATGTTTGACATACTCCTGGGCGATACTGACCAAGCTGACTCCTGAGCAGCACTTTGAGTAGCAAGATACAGAGGGTTATTACAAACTAGTGGACAGAGGGTGGCTGCAGGCTGGAGGTAAAGTCCAGGCTAATTGCCTGGAAACTTGAGGTGGTCTCCGCCCCCTTGCTTGCTGAGGTTCCCACCCAGGAATCAGACACGTGATTGTCGGACCGTCAGCACAGACTGGAACCCTGTAAGCGCTGTGGCTCCCAAAATGCTGCCTGGCCTGCCTTCTCGGCTGCTGCTGGTGCTGGTGACGCTGCTGCAGACCCAGGTACGAAGAGAGAGGTTGTCCGGGTGCGGGGAGATTGGAGGAGATCCGTGGGGGAAGAGGAAGTCAACCACCAAAAGGCCAGCAGGGCCAGTTCCATTTCTTAAGTGCTTGGCAAACACTGATCCTCACTCCGGACCTCTGCTGAGGCCGGGTTTCTCCCCTTGCAGGCAGACGCTCGCTCCTTCATAGTGGATCGGCAACATGACAGGTTCCTTCTAGACGGGGTCCCGTTCCGCTACGTGTCTGGTAGCCTGCATTACTTTCGTGTACCGCGGGTACTTTGGGCAGACCGGCTTATCAAGATGCAATTGAGCGGCCTCAACGCTGTACAGTTGTAAGAAGTGCTCACGAGCCTTGTGGAGGCGCGATTTACTCTTCCCACCGCCCTCTTAGGAAGGGGTCGGGTCAGAAAAACTGGCAGGGTTTGAAGGGGTTTGAGCTTCAGGCCTCCTAGGGCAAGGCCTGAGCTCCCTAGGCACCTCTGGGTCCTGTTAACTTATTCCTTTCTCAGTTATGTGCCCTGGAACTACCATGAGCCAGAGCCTGGGATCTATAACTTTAACGGCAGCCGTGACCTCATTGCCTTTCTGAATGAAGCAGCTAGAGCGAACCTGTTGGTCATATTGAGACCAGGACCTTACATCTGTGCAGAGTGGGAGATGGTGAGTTAGTGGAGAAGGTGCAGAATCCAAGTCTTCTTATGAAGTTTCAACTACTTTCTGCCAACACTATTAAGGCTGTTCCCAGCACTGTATTAACTCCCTCCCTTCTTACCTTGCTACCCCTCTACCCCCAAACAAAACCTACCTGTAACCCATGTGATGGCTTATTCTTGTAACCCCAGCACTTGGGAGGCTGAAGCAGGAAGATTGCTGAGGGTTTGAAGCCAGCCTGGGCTACAGAGACCCTGTCTCAAAAACAACAAAACAAAACAAAAAACCCTACATGCTTACTTGTTGCCTTTATGTTTTTCTCAAGGGAGGTCTCCCATCCTGGTTGCTTAGAAAGCCTAATATTCATCTGAGAACCTCAGATCCAGGTAAGTTATGACAAAAGATTTGAATGTCTGGACACAAGATCATCCCTGACTTGGAGGTCATTTATCTACGTTTGCCTTCATATCTAGCACGATACTAGAAACTGAGACTGGAAAGGGCTAGTCCCTGTTCAGTAAAGCCTATAATAGTGTGAGAGCCAGGCATGGTGATGCTCACTTACAAGGTAGAGACAACAAGGATCAGGAGTTCATGATCATCCTCCATTACACAGCAAGTTTGAAGTCAGCCTTGACTACATAAGACCTTGTGTCACATTAAAAAAATAATATATATATATGAGAGAGAGAGAGAGAGAGAGAGAGAGAGAGAGAGAGAGAGAGAAGCTGTGGTGGCACAAGCCTTTAATCCCAGGCACTCAGGAGGCAGACAGGTAGATCTCTGTGAGTGTGAGAGTGAGGCTAACCTAGTCTACATAGGGAGTTCCAGGCCAACCAGGGCTCAAAAACGAGCATTTTAGTTGACTTCTAGGGAAGAGAAAGCACTGGTCATATGAAGAGGTAAAAATATTCCATCCGTGAGATGGGAAAGAACATGGTAGGATTGAGGAAAGCAGACCAGCATGGTTGGAACAATGGGAAAGGGAGAGAGTAACATGACAAAGCATTTGAGCTGACATAGGTCCTGTAGTCCCACTTATGGAGCCTGAAAACCACTGAAAAAATTTACCAAAGATGTGACAAGGCTCAATTTGCTTTAGTATTATTTTAGCCTGGGTGTGAAGTGGATTGAAGGGAGCAAGAGTAGAGAAGTGAATGAAATTATTACTATGGTTGAGAGATGTCAGTGCCTAGACCTAAGTGATGGTGGTGGGAATGAAAAGAAGAGGGTAGATCTTTGTTACAGTCTGGGAACAAAAATCACTAGGATTTGTTGACTTTTCATTAGAAGGGGAGGCAAAGAGGGATATGGGTAGGAAAAGAAAGGATTCAACTTTCTGACCAGTCAGGATGGTACCATTTATTGACAAGGGTCTAATGGAGGAGGCTAGAGGTCCAGATGAACAACATAGGGTACTAGAGAACCTTATATCCCTTACAACATTTTCTAAGCCCATATGCCTATGAAGTATATTTAAAATGATAAAGTTTTGGGTTTGTTGTTGTTTTGGTCTTCTTGAGACAGGGTCTCCCTGTAGTCCCAGCTGGCCTGGAACTTTATATAGACCAGGCTGGCCTTGAACTCACAGAGATCTGCCTGCTTCTGCCTCTAAGTTCTGGGATTAAAGGTGTGCACCACCAGGCTTAGCTAAAATGACAAAGTTTTAATGGATTACCAATATGCAGTCTGTTTTGCTCAAGAGCATCAGTGACCTCCATGTTGTTAAATCCAGGCTTCATTTCTCTTGATTAGTCAGCAGCACTTGGCCTATTATTCACCTGTGTGGTGGTTTGAATAAATTTTCCCCATATACTCCAAGTATCTGAATATTTTGTCCCCAGTTGGTGGTGCTGTTTTGGGAGTTTTAGATGGTGTAACCTTGCTGGAAGAAGCATGTCACTGGGGGTGGGCTTTGAGAGTATATAGCCATGCCCATTTCCGGTCTGTCCCTCTCTCCTTACTGTGCCTGCTTGAAGATGTGAGTGCTCAGTTTTCTGCTCTGGCCACCTCCCACCTCCATGCCTCTCCCACCATTATGGACTTTTCTGGAACTGTAAACCAAATAAACTCTTCCTCTATAAGTGGCCTTGGTCATGGTGTTTTTTCACAGCAACAGAAAAGTAACTAATATAGAAGTTGGTACCAGAAGAGGGGTGTTGCCATGAAGAACCTGACCATGTTTTTTGAAGAAATGTAGACTTTAGGACTTTAGACTAGAAAAGCAGTTGAATGCTGTAAGCATAGTTTAATGGGTCATTCTATAGAGGCCTGGCTTTTAAGATGTTCCAGAGGGAGATGGAAACAAGGATTTATTAATCAGCAACTTGGATTTTTTTTTTTAACTTTATGTGTAAGAGTGTTTTTCCTATCTATGTAAGTGTATCCATGCATGAAATGTCCATGGAGGCCAGGAGAGGGTGTCACATCCCTTGGAACTGGAGTTGGGGATGGTGGTTAGCTGCCATGTAGGTGCTAGGAACTGAAACTGGGTCCTCTGCAAGAACAGCAAATGCTCTTAACCACTGAACCAACTCTCCATCCCCAACTGAACATTTTTAATGGAGGCCTAAGAACTTGCTTGAGGCTAAATTAAAATGTAAAGTATTAAATGTAAATTTAATAATAAATTAAAATGTAAATTTATTTGGCAAAGGAAGTTTCAAGACAGCCTCATGTAGAATCTGTGGTGTGGTTATTAACGGTGAAGTTTATGTAGATCTACAATAAAAAAGAGCAATTGGGGCAGAAAGAAACAGAATATACAGTTTGGAGAGGAGAGCACTAGGAGCCTAGGCACGGAGACTCTCTTTGATAAGGAGATTAGAGCCAATAAGGAGAGGCCTCCAGATTTGCACTTACACAGTGGAAAGAGTACCTTCAGGGCAAGACCCCACCAAGCTATGCTTTCAGCTCCTGAAAGGAAAAGGCGTAAGGGGTGTTCTGCTTCTATAAAACTATAATATGAAAGCAGCTGCTGGTAATATGGATGAAGGGGCCAAAGCCCATCCCTAGCAGGCAGCATGCTTCCCCCACCATCGTGGACTTCCTCTCTGGAACCTTAAGCTAAATAAACTCTTCCTTCTATAAGTAGCCCTGGTCATGGTATTTTGCCACAGCAACAGGAAAGTAACTAATATAACCTGACCTTTGAAATATACTTTTCTGACTGAGCATGGTAGTGCATGCCTAAAATCTGAACACTGAGGACACTGAGGCCAGGAGGATCTAGAGCCCAGGGCAGCCTGGTTTATATAATGAGACTGTCTCAAAAAGAAACAAAACCCACAAAGCATACTTTATGTTCCATGATGCCTCACTTATCTGATCCCTACCCCCATCTTTCTGACTACTCAGTCTCAGTCACTTTCTCCATTTTCCTTTCCTCTGAGTGCTGGAGTGTTATCAGGGCTCAGTCTTTAGATGCTTCTCTTTTCTAATCTTGTTCCCTAGGTAATAATTCTATCATTGGTGTGATAGAATTAACCCATGGAATAGCTAATGACCCCCAAATATGTAGCTCTCTAGCTAGGACCTCTCCCATGACTTCTACACACATAATAAGCTCTCATGTTACTTCTCCATCTAGACAAAAGAACCCCCCCTCCCACCACAGGTTTTTTTTTTTTTTTTTTTTTTTTTTTTGGTCTCCTGGTTGGCCACTTCCACCTGCTTTCCCTTTGTGCCTTTTCCCTTTTGCCTGCACTTTAAAAATTTTTTTTATTTTATGTGTGTATTGCCTGTATGTAGGTAAGTGCACCTGTGTCATGCAGTGCCTGAGAAGAACAAAAGAGGTGGTCGAATCCCCTGGAACTGGAGTTACAGACAATTGTTAGCTACCATGTGGGTGCTGGGATTCGAACCTGGGTCTTCTGCAAGAACAACCAGTGTTCTTAACCACTGAGCCATCTCTCCAGCCCCAAGACAAAAGAATTTTTAAATTGTCCCTGTAAAACCAGGCATGGTGGCACATGCCTTTAATCCCAGCACTTAGGAGTCAGGATGATACCTGTGAGTTCAAGGCCAGCTAGGGCTACAGGGAGACCCTGTCTCAAAAAGACCAAATAAATAAGTAAATGAATAAATAAATTAATTATCCCTGTGAGGTAGCTCAGTAGGTACAGGTGCTTGCTACCAAGTCTGACAACCTGAGTTGGATCCCAGACTCACATAGTGGAGGGAGAAAACTGACTCCTGCATGTTATCCTCTGACCTCTATGTGTGTGAGTGTGGGCTTGAGAGGTGACTCAGTGGTTAAGAGCACTTACTGTTCTTACAAAGGGCCCAGGTTCAGTTCCCATATCAAAGGACTCATAACCACCTGAAACTCTAGTTCTAGGGAATCCAGTGCCTTCTAGCCTCTCTAGATACTTGCACACATGTCATACATATAAATTCCTGCAAGCACACACATGCACATTAAAAAAAAAAAAAAAAGAATTTATGGGGTTGAAGAATCCTAGCACCCACATGGTGGCTAACAACCGGCTGTAACTCTAGTCCCAGGGAAATTTGATGACCTCTTCTGTCCTCCAAGGGCACTGCACAACACAGGTGCACTTATATGCACATGTAACAATCATACACATAAAATTTTTTAAAAAGAATTAAAAAATATCCTTCAAAATATCTTGCACTGAGTCCACTTGGAGACTTTGCTATCTGCTAGGCTTTGTCCTCAAGGATTGGGGCTGCAGCAGCAACAGGACCTTGCCACTAGTGCAACAATTATAGACATGAATGCTCAGGTATAATTTGTAAATTACTTAAAAGAGAAGTATGAAGTAATGTGAGGCTGTGTAACAGATCTATTTTTATCTGGGGATAGTAGAGGCTCTTGTGTTTTCTGTTTTTTTTTTAGACAGGCTCTCATATAATGCAGGCTGACTTCAACCTTGTTGGGTAGCAGAGACTAGCCTTGAACTCTGATTCTCCTGTCTCTACCTCCCAAACACTGGAATTACAGACATGCACTGTATCTGACTTAAAGGTTTTTTTTTGAGAGTTAAAAAATAAAATGCAGTTAAGAATTGATGCTTGAGGACCAACAAAATGGCTCAGCTTGCTGCCAAGCCTCAGGATCTGAGTTCTATCCCCAGGACCAAACGGTGGAAGGAGACAACCAACTTCCTCAGGTTGGCCTCTGACCTCCACATGCACACCATGGCACCTGAACACGTACACACACACACACACACACAAAAGATGTAATTTTATTTTTTTAATAATTTATTTTTATTTGTACAAGTGTTTTGATTGCTGGTATGTATGTAGTAGTGCCCATGAAGGCCAGAAGAGAACAACAGCTGCCTTGCGGGTGCTAGGAATTGAACCTGGGTCCTCTAGAAGAACAGCAAGTGCTCTTAATCCCTGAATCACCTCTCCAGCCCCTAAATAGATGTAATTTTAAAATATAAGCACAGCTGTTAGGCGTGGTGGCGCATGCCTTTAATCCCAGCACTCGGGAGGCAGAGGCAGGTGGATCTCTGTGAGTTCGAGGCCACCTGGTCTCCATAGTGAATCCAGGCCAGCTAGGGCTACAGGGAAACCCTGTCTCAAAAAAAAGACCAAAAAAAGAAAAACAAAACATAAGCATTAAAAAAAAAAAATTGAGTCAACTACATAAAGGAGGATGGGCGAAAAAGTGTCAGGTGGAGGAAATAACATCCATGAAGACACTGGGAGTGAATCACAAAAGTTTTAAGCAGGAGTTGAGAATTTAAGGCATAAAATCACCTGGACTGTTACATCAGAGCACATACAAGCCAGACACTACATTTCTGTGAATTTTCACAGTAATCTCAGGTATAAGTTGATTACATAATAATGGCTCCATATTATGTTTCACCTTTTCTTACATGTAGTTTTAGAAAACACAATTTTACACTTTCCTGTGTTCAAGAATTTCCTCTAAGGGAGATGGAAGCCACATCTTAGAATGCAACCAGCATGAGGGGCTAGGGAGGATGCTGAGGGGTGGGGCTGTGAAGGTGGGGGTGGTGACCCCTACTGAGCAGAGCATACTGCTCTTTCCTTTAGCCTTCCTTTCTGCTGTGGACTCCTGGTTCAAGGTCTTGCTGCCCAAGATATATCCATTTCTCTACCACAATGGGGGCAACATCATTAGCATTCAGGTACAAGTGGGAAGTGGATGGGAAAGAGAAGTAGGTATGAGGGGTCCATAACCCTCTACCTTACAGCTGGGCTTCTCTTTCCCTTTTCCCTGGCAGGTGGAGAATGAGTATGGCAGCTACAGGGCTTGCGACTTCAATTACATGAGGCACCTGGCTGGCCTCTTCCGTGCACTACTTGGAGACAAGGTCTTGCTCTTCACCACAGATGGGCCTCAAGGACTCAAATGTGGCTCCCTCCAGGGACTCTATACCACTGTAGATTTTGGCCCAGGTCTCCTGAACAAAGGCTGGGAATTGAATGTGGGAGAGGGGCACCTCTTCTGTGGTATTTATCTTTCCCTCGCTTCCATTTTGCAGCTGACAACATTACCAAAATCTTTACCCTGCTTCGGAATTATGAACCCCACGGGCCATTGGTGAGAGGCCATCAGGGAGGAGAATCAAAGCAGAAATCTGGTGGGAATGGGTCCAGCTTAGTTCCCACCTTACTTATGGCTCCCTTCACTTCCCACTCTAGGTGAATTCTGAGTACTATACAGGCTGGCTGGATTACTGGGGCCAGAATCACTCCACACGGTCCAGTCCATCAGTAGCACGAGGACTAGAAAATATGCTCAAGTTGGGAGCCAGTGTGAACATGTAACTGGAGATACAATATGTTCCTGGGAGTTGGGGATCAAAGTTAAGATTCAATGGGGCAACTTTTATCTTTACTCCCACCTTCCTCCACTTTAGGTACATGTTCCATGGAGGTACTAACTTTGGATACTGGAATGGTGAGTGCAGATGGTCCCTGGGGTGGAAGCATTGAGATATCAATTAGAATCTCAGGGCCAGATGGATTAGGATGTTTAGAAGGTAGAAATGACCACCACTTCCCCCTCTGGTGGCAAAATTCTCTGCACAAAGGTCTTTGCTTAGTGCTTATTATCTAAAAAGATGTTGAATTGGGCTGGGCGTGGTGGCACACACCTTTAATCCCAGCACTTGGGTAGAGGCAGGAGGAGCTCTGTGAGTTCAAGGCCAGCCTGGCCTACATAGTGAGTTCCAGGACAGCTGGGGCTATGGGGAGACCCTGTCTCAAAAAGACCAAAAAAAAAAAAAAAAAAAACATTTATCTAAAACTCTTTACCCCTGGGGCAATGAGACGGGGCAGTTTCTTTCCACTATCCCAAC